ACAAGAAAAGGAAGCATAAGCACAGGCACAGACATCATCATGAACCAGCACCTGCACTGACTCACCTGAGCCCTCCAGCACCACCCATAGTTCAAGATACTAAGGAAACAACACCAGCACCATCTCAACAGTCTCCAGCCCTCCACCCCGCCTATCAAGAACGACGGATCCGTGTTTTTGGGACGATTTGGGAATTTCTCTTTGTAATCGGTTTGGGGGTTTTGAGACGTATTATTTACAGCGATCAGATGTTTTAATTTGGTTAAAGTGTATTAATCTAATTTGTTTTATTTTTGAAGTAACTGGCCTAATTTCCCCATCGTTTGTTTGGTCGGCCATGACCCATGAACTAGACAGTCCAAATACTGCCAGCTTACGAGGGCCCTTTTTAAATTTTCTTTTCGTTTAACATTCAAAATCAATTTCTTGTTTATTTTTATCGTGGTAAACTAACTGTTTTTTTTTTTTAATTAAAATGCATCTCAAACTTATATGAGAATGTGATAACTACCTTATAATCACATAGACTTTGGTTACAGGTGAGCACGACTCATTTTTTTTTTTTTAACATCACTTGTTTGTCACAAATAATTAATTGGATTCAGTGTATAATACATTATTGATTTTAATTCAAAGGAAAGAAAGTGTGAAGCTTATTCCTATATGAAACTTTTGTACTTTTGTCAATAACATACAATTCTATCATTCTCTTGGGGATCTATGTAAAATCCCCTTTTTATAAAGGGCAAAGCTTGGCGACAAATTTCTGGAGATCGACCATGCCAAGCATGATCAGTCAAAGTCGATTCATCAATTTACCTTGGACCAACATACTCACTGACATCTATTTTACTGTATTTCCTAATTATATTCTAAATTTCATGAACTATACGTGATGTTTATGGAAAGTTGTTGAGAAACCTTATGGCACGCGAGGATATTTTAAAATTGTTACGCCTCGAATAGGACGAAGGCTCAACTTAGGCATAAATGTGGTAGTTAATATCATGTAGCTTCTTAGTTGGAAGACACGTGACATGGTGGGGTGTTTGCAACCACATTAGATTAAGGCCTGACACAATTTCCTTCGCCTTTGTTTTCATCATTATTATCATGAGCCATGCTTTGTGTACATAATTTTTTCACCATAATGGTGTCCGTACACACACAAGTGGTGGGACCCACTTGAATATTTTATTTGAATGAGTCCCAACACTTGTGTGTGTATGGATACCATTATGGTGAAAAAATTATGTACAAGAAGACAAATCCTATTATCATCCCTCCACTTTTTTTGTACAACATCGCTGAAATGATGAGCACTTCCCAGTGGAATGTCTTTTGCAAAAAATGCATCTGAACTTACCCTCGTATATATAAGGAGGGAAGTGTTGGCAAAGAAACTACTACATCAGTTTCTAAAAAATCGCACATGATCCTAGGTCCTAGGAGAATTAGGAAATTCTTTTGTGATCAATTTCTACAAGGAAATCTGGTTGCACGAGGAAAAAGGTTCAAAGGAAAAACTCCACCATAACAAAACATGGAGTCTTCTGAACCGATGGAAATGTGACCGGAGGCGGACTTAACACAAAAGTTCAGCCCGGACGGACGTTGACCATTAACCGTCGAGGTTGTTTAATAATATTTAATTAAATAAT